CTAAGCCACGGGGCCGGCCCTCCTTTTTCATTTTTGATATTAGTTATTTGTGCCTTCTTTTTATTTCATAGTCTCACTGGAGGTTTGTCAATTTTATTAGCCTTTTCAAAGAACAAACTTCTGGCTTTGTTGATACTTTTATATATTTCTTTTCTATATTATTAATTTCTGCTCTTATAATTTTCTTGGTTTTAAATTGCTATTCTTTTTCTAATTTCTTGGAAGAAATGACTGATTTTCGGCCTTTGTTTTTCTAATATGTGCATATAAGGGTATAAATTTCTTTAAATTGTGCCACAGTTTTTGAGATGTCATTTTTTATTATCATTCAATTCAAAATATTTTCAGATTTCCAATATGAGTTATTTGATCCATGGGTTAAAATATTTTAAAATTTCCAAATACATGTGATTATTTAGTTTTGTTGTTATTGATTTGTGGTTTAAATGCATTGAGGTCAAATAATATGGCCTGTGTAATTATAATCTTTTATTTATTTTTTTTTTTTAATTTTTTTTTGTGTGAGGAAGATCAGCCCTGTGCTAACATCTGCCAATCATCCTCTTTTTTTTGCTGAGGAAGACTGGCCCTGGGCTAACATCCATGCCCATCTTCCTCCACTTTATATGGGACACCGCCACAGCATTGCTTGCCAAACAGTGCGTCGGTGCGCGCCCGGGATCCCAACCGGCGAACCCCGGGCCGCCGCAGCAGAACGCATGCACTTAACCGCTTGCACCACTGGGCCGGCCCCTATAATCTTTTAAAATTTGTTGAAATTTTCCTTCTGACTGACTGAAGAATATGGTCAGTGTTCTGTGTGTGTTTACAAAGAATGTTCTGCGGCTGTTGGATGTTCTGGGGTGTTGGGTGCAGTGTTCTACATATGTTCACCGGGTCAAGTTAATGATATTATCTGATTCTTCTATCAATTACTGAAAAAGGCATGTTAAAATCTCCTACTTTATGTGTGGATTTATTAATTTCTTCTTGTTAACTATTGCTTTATATATATTGAAATTACGTTAAGTGCATGCAAATGTATACTTGTTACTTTCTATTTGACTCAACTATTAGGCACTTAACTATGAAAGGCAAAACTTTAAAATATATGAATAAAGCACAGGAGAATATCTATCTGGCCTCTGAATAGAGAAGAATTTTTTAAACAAGACACAAGTATTAACCAGTAGAAGATATTTGCAGTGCAAATAACCAACAAAGGATTGGTATCCAGAACATACTAGTAACCCTATGAATCAGTGAAAGACAAATAACCCAATAGAAAAATGGGCAAACAACCTGAATAGGCATTTCACAGAAGAGGAAACTTAAATGGCCAATAAACTTATGAAAAGATGCTCAACCACAGTGGTAATTAGGGAAATGCAAACTAAAACTACAATAAGATACCATTATCTCACCTTACTGGCAAAAATTGAATTGACAAAGACATGGATTAATGGGAACTCCCACTACTAGTGGGCATGTAAATCGGCACAGTCACTTTGACCAACAATTCAGCATTACTTACTTGGAGATGTGCATATGCTATGTCCCAGCATTTGTTAGATATATACCCAGAGAAACTCTTGCTGCCTTTATTAGTACACATATACAATAATGTTTATGGCAACATTGTTGCTAATAGCAACAAGAACAACCAAAAAAAAAAAAAAACTAGAAACAACCACTTACCTATTAACAGTAGTTTGGATATTTAAATTGTATTTTCATACAATGGAATACAACATAATTTTGAATTTTAAAAAAGCCAAGGAAGACATACAACATGATTCTATTCATGTAAAGTTCAAAAAACAGGCATAATGAAACTATATTCTTAGGGATCCATACATGTGTAGTATAGAAAAAACTAAATAGTACATTTGTTGGAAAAACATACCTATGAATTTTTTTCAAAAAGGAAAAAGCCAGATACAAAATGTAGAATAGTGATTATCTCAGGGCTGAGAGAGGCACATAGGGGCCTTCAAAGGTTTTGATACTGTTCTATTTCCAAAGCTGGATGGTCAATTAATGAGTGTTTGCTGTTTGTATTATTCTCTAAACTGTACATATACATTACAAACACTTGTGTGTATTCTACAATTTAATTTTTTAAAAAATAATCAAGAAAATATGTCAACTTAGGAGGATTTTTATCTAAAGTAGTTAAACAAAAATTTGGCCTTGAATAAACCGTCTTTACTCATCTGAAAAATTAATTTATCCAGAGCATCTGTTTCCCTGGAAATACCTGGTAATCCAGTTTTACTATCTTTTTCTTCTCCTGTGTCTCAGTTATATTCTACAACTGTGCAGTGATATTACCACTGCTATACTAAAAGTCCAGTTAGTCAAAGAAAATGACACAACATTCTCCCTTTAAGGTTCTCACCTCAGTGAATCCTAACACACTGACTGGAGCCTCTTTTACCTTCTGCTTCATAGAAGGATATTTTTCTTACTATCAGCCTCATCTCCTGTAGCCTGAGATAAAACAATATATAAGATAGCCCCAGTCACACTTCTTAGTGAATACCAGTCAGAGTCTATTTCTAGCAGAGAAGTCCATATTGGTGTTTTATAATTCATATTCATGAGAAGGATTCCTGCCTTTAATTATAATCTGAGTTCTAAGTAGAAGGATTATTCAAATTATTCAGTATAGAATAACTAATTATCTGGGAAAACAAATTTGTGTCATTCTATGTTAAAACAAATGCTGGATAGCTGACGTAGTATATCGGAGAAAGTATTAAGGTAGACAGCGACAGATAGTGGAAAATATGTGTACACCTGCGGTCTCTCCTTGTTCCCCTGGTGATTTGAATATAATATCCATTTTTTTCTTTTCCTTTTTTTAAAAACAGCTTTATTGTGGTATAATTTACATGCCATAAAATATTCCCATTAAGAGTGTACAGTTTACTAATTTCTAGTATATTTATATAGCTATGCAACCATCACCACAAAAAAAATTCGTTTTTAAGAAGTATATTTTCCAAATTCAGATTAGAATTTTTGTTCATTCCTACTCATCTTTTACTATCTCCAACTTAATCTCAACTTTTCCATAGACTTTTCTCCTCCTATTCTGGGGAATATTGACCTCCCCTTTCTCTAAACTCTGTAGTACTTATCTGTCCCCAAGGACAGACTTTAGCCTTCAGTTATCTAGAACTCCGTATATGACTTAAGAGGTAGCAACTAGGCCCTCTTCTATCCTCCAAACTCCTTGTCATACTACTTGAAATTCTTTACCATAGTGCCTAAAAACCCCACAATTAGAAATATTTGCTTGTTGAATGTGGACTGTATATTAGCTAGTAAGTAGTATCGTGTTGATGTTAAATTTTCTGAATTTGATAATTTAGTACTGTGATTATGAAAGAGAATATCTTGGTTCTTAGGAGATACTCGCTGAAGTATTTAGGTATAAGAATTATAATGCCTGCAACTTACTCTAAAGTGGTTCAGCAAAAATAACATTAGTAATAATTATACACACACAAAATCATATGCGGTGGATGTGGGGGAGAGAGAAAAAGAAAATGTGGCAAAATGTTAATAATTGGCGAATCTAGGTGGAGAGCATATGGGAGTTTATCATACAAATGTGCAATTTTTCTGTAAGTTTTAATTTAAAAAAAAAGATTTAAAAAAAGGAAACATGTCCCTTTAGTTCAGTGGTTCTCTGCCCTAGCCATACATTAGAATCATCTGAGAGCTTTTAGAAACTACAAATGCCTGGGCCCTACCTGCTAGATATTTTGATTTAATTGGTCTTGGGTGGAGTCCAAGCATCTGAATTTCTTTTAAATCTCCCTAGATGAACGTTTTTTTCTTTTTATGCTTCTTTTTTATCCTTCAAAACGTCTAGCAAGGTTCCACGCACAAAACAAGTCCTCATTACATTCTGATTGAAGTGAATTCATTAAAAAACAAAAAAGTAATTTCTTAAACATAGCCATAATCATGTCATGGCCATTTACCCAAATCAGCAGCTATAAATCTAAGTATATTGAATATGCCAACGCTACATGAATATTACCTGTGGTATGTGTGTATCCTTCCATTATGACAGATAAGATAGGGGGCTTTGACCCTGCCAAAGAGCTGTGCTAATTGTAATTATAGAGGGTCAGTGTTGCAGGTCCTAAACGCTCCCCCCCGCAAAAAAATACCTGTCAGTTATAGAGCATGAAGCACAGTTAGATGTTCTTCCAAGGAAAGGAAATAGGGATGGTTCATCAAGGGTGCTGCTGAGATCAATGATGGTAAGAACTTTAGACTTAGAAGGAACAAGCTGGAGGACGAGTATACTGGAGGGGACAAGAAGAAAAATACTGATGTTTAAATTATAGGCAGGAATGATGAAAAGGACATAGTCAAAAGTAGATGGAAATACATAAAGGTATGTGAATACAGAAAAACAAGTGCCCCCCCATAGATAAAGCAAGAATACTAAATAGTATTCTACTATTAGAATACTTTTTAGTAGCATACTAACAAGTATCTTGAGAGAATTCAAGACAAGATTATAAACTAGCCCAGACCATTTCCTTTTTTTTTTTTCCCTTTAAATCTCTGGAGCAGTTTTTTTAAACTACAATAACAAGTTCTAGAAAAGAAATGTTGCAAAATTTATATTAAAAGATAATTAAATAGGAAGAAGAGTGCACATCTGAAAATGCATCTATTAGGAGTCATTTTACTGGAGAATAATGAGAGCATAATAGAATTTCTGGGCACATCTGAAAAGAGTTCCCGAGCACCACTAACTCAAGTTGCAGTTTGCTCCAGTAACAACAGCATGATGTCACTCTCACGAGAGCGACTCCTGTGTCATAGAAGACCCCAGAGAATTAGAACGACATCTTGAAAGGCTCCAGTGAAATCCACTTAGGACACTGAGAATGGAATTCAATTTGTGAATTGTCTTTTCATTATTCCAGAGTTCCCCACAAATTGGGAAGAGAAACCAGTGAGACTGGTAAACTATTTCAATACCTCTTTAATAACTCTCTGAATTTATACAATAGTATGACTAGTTACTGTGGATGTGAGATATGCAATGGTTCTTTATTCTCTCCACCATCATTAAGGCAAGGGCAGAAGTAGGGATAAATTTTCTCCATGAAAGTGCTACCGAAGGTGTAAATGTGGGTCAAGGTTTTAGCATTGTAGAAGGATACCTGCCCTCCTTCATAATCCAGGTATATGCCCACCTTGTCGAGGTTGTTAGTCAGTTTCAGACTGCAAGAAGGCAAATCCAGAGCCTTTAGATCTGTTTGGTTCCTTAGTCTTAAAAGCCAGAATCCTTGCTCAGGAGTTAGAGGACAGCTGCCTTTCCGAATGATGGATTCTCTGACGACTCCAACTGTCCATTTTGTCTTCTTTGCTACTTCTACTTCCCAGTACCACTTTCCAGATGTGAAGCCTTTTGAGCCCAGCACAGCCACACTTGAGTCAAACCTCTCTGGATCATCGGGCATTACCTGCTTAATGTCACCATGCCACACACTGGTTCGGTTTTTGGAGAGCACCAGATTTGGGTGAGCTGTTTTAGGGTCCAGAGTTAAAGGAGATAGGCCTAGTAAGAAAATAAGAGAAAGCAGGGCATGGGAGAAAAGGGGTGAATGCAAATTCCCATAGTAAAGGACAGTATTTACATAGACACCAGTACTTTATCTCCTCATGCACGTATACTGTTAGGCAGGTAATAACCTATATACTTTTTTATTGTTCTGGCGTCCATGTGGCTATATTCTAGATATTTTTATATTTGTGGTAAAAATCAAACTTTACTCTGAAGCAATTCATGCTCTAAAAAAGAAAACAATACAAATAATATAAATCTATACTAGTAAATATAAGAAAAGACAAGCACTGAAGGGATAGAGATTAGGTAAGTTTGTCCTAGGAAAGCTTTCTAAAGACAGTAAGTATTTCAGTTGTGATATAACATCTATGAGATGTATTCATGATGCTTTGGGTAAAGAGGCAAAAAAGGAATGGGTTAAAAATGGTAGCTTGTATGGGAGAGAAGGTAACGCCTTGCCTGTTAGAGGCAGATAACACTGAGCTAACTGGTGCAGAGTTTAGAGGACAATGGTGAGAATATTTGGTTTAATAGATAATGGGACTTTTGAGATCTAGAGTGGTTTATGCCACTGCTGATCAGAATGTGGTCCACATTCTGTATGTTTGGTTACCAAACTGTATGGTTACCAGGCTGGGACAAGATAGTACAGAAATTAAGAGTAAGGTCTTAGAAACTTTCATAGCAATCTCACAGAGTAATTTTATGTCAGTTGAATCTCATAATTAAAAAACTAGCACTTTGTCATCTTTCTTTTTTTAATTCCACTTTTTCAAGTAATTAATGTATATTGTATTCTATAAGTGTATCAGTCCATGACAATCGAGATTTTAAAAACTGGTCCTTCATCACAGGTAATTTGACAAGCATTAGTTTAGAAAAATCAGTGGGCAGCAGTATGAAAAAGAATTTCTAGAATTTTCTGGGCTGGAACTACTGCAATAGCTTTTTAACTGTCCTGTTTCACTCTTGCTCATCTGCAACCTATTCCACCCATAACATGAATGAGACCATCTAGTTCTCCTACTCAACACACTCTTATGTTTCCCATCACACCCAAGATAAAATCCTTAAAGAGCAAACAAGACCTACATGATTTACCCACCTCTCCAACCTCATCTCCCTACCACACTCCCCAACCCCGCCCCCATTTACTTTAATCCAACCACCTTTGCCTTTTGGCTGTTCCTTGAATACACCAAGCTCATTCATACTTCAGGGTGTTTACACTTTCTTTAGTTGTCCCCACTCTTTCCCTATATGGTTCATTCCTTTAATTGTTCATGCAAGTTCAGTAAAGTGTTAATGATAGAATCTAGATAGGTATAGATGTTCTTAGTAAAACTTCTCAAATGAGTGATCTATTCACTTCACTGCAGCCTCATTCCAAATCACTCCTGAACCCTTCACAATATAACTTCTACCCATTCCATTCTTTTGAAATTGCCCTTACCAAAGCCACCAATTGTTGTTAAAAACATTTCTTTTCCAGTTGTTTTCTAAATTGAGCTTCACATTTAGCCTGAATGACCACTCCCTACTCCTTGACATTCTCTTCCTTTAGATTCCATATCAACTTCATTTCCTGGTTTTCCTCTTATTTCTCTTGCCAGAATTCCTCAATCTCTTTTGGGGGCTTCATTGCCCTTTATCTTTTGGTATTCTCTATAAGATGCTCCCTCCTTGACTGTATGTTCTCGCTTTCCTTAGGAAATCTCATTTCCATCAATAGCTTCAGCTACCTCACTCTATACTGATTATTCCAGCCCTGGCCTCTCTACTAAGCTCCAATTAGAATAGTTACCTATTTGAATATATTCACTTAGTTGTCCTGTAGGTTCTTCAACACAACACGGCCAACATTGAACTCATCAGCTCCCTCCAAAATCTGCATTTCCTACATTTCCATCCCTGACATCACCTTTCTCTATCCCTTACCACCAATTACTGTTGAGTACATTTCAGTTCCTAGAATTCTGTCTCTGGAATCTATTCTTTATTTTCCATTCTCATGCTTTTGGCTTAGATCTGAATAATTTTTCAGATGGCTGAAAGATGACAGTAGACAGCTACTACAGACTCTAAGTTGTTCTTCTGGCCTCTCCTTCTTGGGAGCAGAAACTACATCTCTTATTTCTATATCCTTGGAGCCCAACTTAGTGCTTAGCAGGTAGTAGACCCTCAATAAGAGTGTGTTGAATGAATGAGTAAACTTTGGTGATTACTGATACACACAAAACTAAAGGAAATGTATTAAAATATTTTAAATTGAATGATTCCCTACACTGGAATTGGTAAAACTACAACCAGCAGGCCAAATCTGGCCAGCTGCCTTCTTTTTTTTTTTCTTTTTTTAATAATTCTTCTTTTTATTTATTTTTTTATTTTTTGAGGAAGATTGGCCCTGTGCTAACATCTGTTGCCAATCTTCCTCTTTTCTTTCTTTTTTCTCCCCAAAGCCCCAGTACATAGTTGTGTATCATAGTTGTAGAGTTGTAGCTCTTCTATATGGTACACCACCTCAGCATGGCTTGCTGAGCGGTGAGTAGTTCCACACCCAGGATCCAAACCCGTGAACCCCAGGCTGCTGAAGCAGAACACGCAAACTTAACTGCTACACCACTGGGCTGGCCCTGCCTTCTTTGTAAATAAAGTTTTATTGGAACACATCAATGGCCATTCGTTTACATATTATCTATGGTTGCTTTTTCACTACAATGGCAGAGTTAAGAAGTAGTTTTGACAAAGACCATATAGCCCACAAAACCTAAAATATTTACTGTCTAACCATTTACAGAAAAATTTCAGCCTCTGCCCTAAAGCAGCAGTCTCTATTATAAGGCAGGAGAAGAGAAAATATGAAGCTGCAGAATAAGCAAAGTCCTAGAAATAAGAAACGTGAAGTATATTTTACAAAGGTTTGGCCACAGTTAAATTATTAGTAAAATAGCCGTATGTTAAATAAATCCTATTTGATTTTCTTAGATGTAAAATTATACCAAAAATAAAGAAAAATCAGTTTGTGCTTTAAATGATTGCTAGAAATGAAGTTTGATTTTGCAGGGCAAAGTCCAGGAATAAAAACTCAATGTGATCTCAAGACAGCTAGAATTTGCAGAGTAGAGTAACAGTGGAGGGCGGTGCACAGAGACTTTCGAAATCTACAAAGGAATTCCCTCAAGGCTGTGGCTAAGTACTGATCTGCAGTGAAAGTCATTAGGGCTAGCAAAAGTATCTCCAGAAAGCAGTAGGTTGAACAATTCCTAGAGCTCACCTAAGACTGGGAATAATTTTCAATCCTGCCAGCCAGAATGGAAAAATGTCATAACATGTGGAACATCAGGCAGAGTACTCAGAATGATATTACCTTAGAAAATGGGCTAATAATTTATGTAGATACTCCACCCTTAAGGAGGAGGAGCATAATTCCCCACTCCTTAAGTGTGGGTTGTGCATAGTGACTTCCTTCTAACATGTATAGTATGGAAGGCTAGGGGATAGTAACTTTACAGTGAAGAAAACTTACAAACACTACCTCAGCTAGGTGATTAAAGCCAACATCAACGGTCATAAATTATGTTGACAGTATGTATGCCTGATATGATGTGATGAAAATGGCACTTTAACGCTGTGGTCTTCCTCTCAATAACTCATAACCTGGGTCTTATCATGAGAAAAACATTAGACAAATTGCAGTAATGTGGCATCCTACAAAATATGTGACCAGTACTCCTCAACACTGTCAAAGTCACAAAAACAAGATAAGTCTGAGAGACTGTCACAGCCAAGAAGAGCTTAAAGAAACATGACAACTAAACGTAATGTGGAATCTTAGATGGGATCCTGGAACAGAGAAATGACATTAGGTAAAAACTAAAGAAATCTAGGGCCAACCCTGATGGCCTAGTGGTTAAGTTTGGCATGCTCCACTTCAGCGGCCTGGGTTTGGCCCAGGCATGGACTTACACCACTTGTCTGTTAGTGGCCATGCTGTGGTGGTGGCTCACATACAAAGATTGGCAGCGGATGTTAGCTCAGGGCAAATCTTCCTCAGCGAAAAAAAAAAGAAGAAATCTAAAGAAACTGTAGGCTTTAGTTAATAATAATATATCAATATTCATTCATTAATTTTAAGGTATATGAGAACTTTCTGTACTATTTTCTCAATTTTTCTATAAATATAAAAGTGTCCTAAAAATAAAGTTTATTAAAAAGAAAAAAAATCACTAGCCATGCAAAGCAGCAGGAAAACATGACCCATAGTCAGGAGAAAAATCAAGAAATAAAAGCATGCCCAGAAATTATAGCAATGATGGAATTAGCTAAGACATTAAAACTGCTATCATAAATATCTTCCATTTGCTTGAGGAAAACATGAACACGGTAAGGAGAGAAATGGAAGATACAAAAAGACCCAAATGAAACTTCTAAAAATGAAATGTATCTGAAATGAAAAACATCTTGAACAGGATTAACAGGAGATTAGATAGTGCAGAAGAAAAGATGAGAAAACTTGAATAGCAGTAGAAACTATTCAAAATGAAGCACAGAGAGAAAAAGGCCTAAAAAATACTGAGCATCAGTAACAAGTGAGACAATATCAGATAGTCTAACATATGTAAAAATTAGAGTCCCAGAAGGAGAAAAATTAGAGTCCCAGAGAATGAGGGTAGGTGAAAAATTCTTGAAGAAATAATAGCTGGCATTATTCCAAATTCTATGAAAATTATAAACCTCTAGATCCAAGAAGCTCAATGAACCACAAGCAGAATAAATATACAGAAATAAATAAATACAAAGAAAATCACACCCAGACCCAGCATAATCAAATTGATGGAAACAAGTGACAAAAAGTAAATCTTAAAAGTAACCAAAGAGGGCCAGCCCCGTGGCTTAGCGGTTAAGTGCGCGCGCTCCGCAGCTGGCAGCCCAGGTTCAGATCCCAGGCGCGCACCGAAGCACCGCTTCTCCGGCCATGCTGAGGCCGCGTCCCACATACAGCAACTAGAAGGATGTGCAGCTGTGACATACAACTATCTACTGGGGCTTGGGGGGGGAAAAAAAGTAACCAAAGAAATAAGAAATAATACGTACAGAGAAATAAAGATAAAAATGATAATAGACATCTCATCAGAAACTATGCAAGTCAGAAAACAATGGAGTGACATCTTCAAATTACTGAAAAATAAATCCATCATCCCAGAATTCTATATCAGGGAGAATATCTTTAAAAAAAATGAGATAAAATAAAGATTTTTTTTCAGACAAACAAAAGCTGAGATAATTCATCACTAGCATACTTGCACTATAAAAAGTATTAAAGGAAGCTCTTTAGGCAGAAGGAAAAATTATATCAGATGGAAATTTGTATCTACATAAAGGAATAAAGAGTCCCAGAAATTGTAACTATGTGAATTGTAAATATGTGAATATAAAAGATATTTCTTCATTTTAAAAATCTCTTTAGAAGATAACTGACTGTATAAGCAAAATTAATAATAATATATGTGGAATTTATAATGTGTGGAAATAAAATATATGAGAACAATGGCATAAAGGATGAGGAATGTAAAAGTATACTGTTTTAAGTTTTTTACACTAAACATAAAGGGCCGTTATTTGAAGATAGAATGGGTAAGTTAAACATGCATACTGTAAAATCCTAAAGCAACCAAAAATGTAAAAAACAAATAAAAATTAAATAAGTACAAATAATAACCCAGTAGTGAAGATGAAAGAGAAAACTAAAAGGCACTCAATCCAAAAGAAGGTAAGTAAAGAGGACACAAAGGAACAAAGGACAGACGGGATGAATAAAAGCAAATACCAAGATGCTAGATTTAAACCCAATCATACTGATAATAACATTAAATGTTGATGGTCAGAACATCTCAATTAAAAGAGAGAGATTGTCAGATTGGATAAAAAAGCAAGACAATAACATGCTAGCTACATAAAACACACTTAAAATATAAAAACACAAATAAGTTAAAAGATGATGGAAAAAGATACACTGTACAAATACTAATCTAAAGAAAGCCAAAGGGGCAATATTGGTATTAGACAAAATAGAATTCAGAAAAAGAAATATTAGCAGGGATACAGAGGAACATTTCATAATTATAATGAGATTGACTCATCAGAGATTGTAACAATCCTAAATGTGTATTCACCTGATAACAGAGCTTAAAAATACATGAAGCAAAACTACTGAACTGAAAGGAAGAATCACAGTACCTAATTTCAAGATTTACCATAAAGCTATGGTAATAAAGACTTGTGTTGTTGGTATAAGAGTAGACATACAGATCAGTGGAACAGAACTGAGAGTCTATAGTAGACTTGAGTTGATTTTTCTTTCTTTTTTTCTGTTTTTTTTTTTTTTGGTGAGGAAGATTGGGCCTGGGCTAACGTCTGTTGCCAATCTTCCTCTTTTTGCTGAGGAAGATTAGCCCTGAGCTAATGTCTATGCCCATCTTCCTCTATTTTTGTATATGGGATGCTGCTGCAGCATGGCTTGATAAGTGGTGTGTAGGTCCGTGCCCAGGATCTGAACCCATGAACCTTGGGCCACCGAAGCAGAGCACATGAACTTAACTACTATGCCACCGGGTCAGCTCCAAGAGTTGATTTTTGACAAAGGTGCTAAGATATTTCAGTGGTAAAAAAGCAGTCTTTTAAACAAATGATGTGGGAACAATTGGACATTCATATGGAAAAAAAATAACCTTGATCCTTACCTTACACTGTAAACAAGAATTAACTCTAAGTGGATAGTAGACTTAAACATAAGAGTTCAAACGATAAAACTTCTAGAAGAAAGTATAGGAAAAAATCTGTAGCCTTGGGTTAGAGAAAGATTTTTTAGGACACAAAAAGAATAAAACATGAAAGAAAAAAAATGGTAAGTTGGATTTCATCAAAATCAAAAACTTTTGTTCTTTGATAGACCCTGTTATGAAAATGAAAAGGCAAGCCACAGACTGAAAGAAAATATTTGAAAAACATATGTCTGATAAAGCATTTGTGTCCTGTAAAACTCAAAAATAAAAAAAATCCTTTGAAAATATGAGCAAAAAATTGAACACACTTAACCAAAAAAATATATGAATGGCAAAGAAGCACATGAAAAGATGCTCAGGATTAGTCATTAGGGAAATGCAAATTAAAACCATTACCTGCCATATATCTAATAAATGGTTAAAATTAAGATTGACAATATCAAGTTTTGGCAAGGATGTAGAGAAACTGGGACTCTCATCCATTGCAGATGGCAATGTACAATGCCATTCCTATCGAAAGTACTAATAAGGGCCACTTTAGAGGAAAAATGTAGTAGTTTCTTATACAGTTAAGCATACACTTACACAATGCAGCAATCCCACCAGTAGGTATTTACCCCCAAGAAATTAAAACACAAAGATTTCTACATGTGGGCCGGCCCTGTGGCTTGGTGGTTAAGTGCACGCGCTGCAATGCTGGTGGCCCGGGTTCGGATCCCGGGTGCGCATCGAGGCACCACTTCTCCGTCCATCCTGAGGCCGAGTCCCACATACAGCAACTAGAAGGATGTGCAGCTATGACATACAACTATCTACTGGGGCTTTGGGGGGAAAAAATAAAATAAATAAAATCTTTAAAAAAAAAAAAAAAAAAAGATTTCTACATGAATGTTCAGGCAAGTTTATTCACAATAACCGTAAACTAGAAACTACCCAAATGTCCAACAATTGATAAATGAATAAGCAAATTGTGAAGTATCCATAGAACATGATTACTGATACATGCAACAACAGGTGAATCTCAAAAAGCATTATGCTAGGTGAAAAAAGCCAGACACAGAGCCAGCCCTGATGGCCTAGCAGTTCAAGTTCAGCACCGTCTGCTTCGGTGGCCCGGTTCAGTTCCCAGGCGCAGAACCACACCACTCATCTGTCAGTAGCCACACTGTGGCAGTGGCTCATGTAGAAGAACTAGAAGAACTTACAACTATACACAACTATCTACTCGGGCTTTGGTAGGGCGAGAAAAAAGGAGGAAGATTGGCACAGGTGTTAGCATAGGGTGAATCTTTCCCTGCAAAAAAAAACAGACACAAAAGACTACATAATGTATGATTCTACTTAGATGAGATTTTAGGAAAGACACAACTAAAGTGAAATAATGCAGACCAGTGAGTGTCAGGGGCTGGGGATAGAAGGAAGGGATTGACTGCAAAGGGACATGCAGGAAATTTTGGGGATGATAGAAATTTTGATTTTGGAGATGTTTACGTAAGAATATATACATATACATATAAATATATATTTGTCAAAACTCATCAAATTATACACTTAAAATTGGTGAATTTTATTCATGTTAATTATACCTCAGTAAAACTGATTTTTTTCAATGTCAGTTACCCATAAAAATTGTTAACACGGATAAATTTATGGTTTTCATTAGATCAGTAACTACAAACAATAATAATAATGAGCCTATATGAATTCTATAAAAAACTTTACTTAGAACTTTATTTCTACAAAGATTTTTATTTCAAACTTTATGTTCTTGAAATGCCATTTGTGTTCTTTTGTCCTGCTCAGGCCTTGGTATCTTCAGGATGACAAAAACTTAGTGTCCTTATTAAGCACATCTGTTGAAATTATTGGTTTTCTTTTGAAGCACTGAAGATCTCTAAACAATCTCCTAACATGTTATACTTCATGTGATAAACATCAAACACAAGAGGACCTGTAAAGACCCTATTACATACAAAGAGTATGTACAGTAACCTCCTCCTCCAGGGCAGAGAAGCCCCAGGGATTTATACAACTGATTTAGCAAAACGGACAAAAAATTGGTTGTCCATTTGATAGAACAATCAAGCAAGATCATAGACTGAGAAGTAATTCTAACATCAGACTCTTTTCTATTTACCAGTAAAAAGTTATAAGTTCTGACGTAATGGTACCAGAAGAAATTCAGTCCTTTGGCTAAACTCTACCCTTCCCCCTGTCCCAGACCCTAAAGTACTAATTAGGGCCACAGAAGAGGTCCCACAGATAAAACATAGATTAGGAGCCCCAGGAACCAATAGCTACTACCCACTGATACCTGGAGACAGAGTAGACTGCATTTCCCTCCACATCATGTACTGGATGGGACCTTTGTACAGGCCCAGGTTCAGCTTTCTGGAGATAAGCTCTCTGGGTGTCAGCACCTTCATTCCTTGCTCTAAGCTGCAGGTGACATAATTCATTTATTCTTAGACATCCTCTAGGGACTGAAAGAAGGGTATTAATACCATACAGAAACACTTACCTATCCAAGAAAGGTGTGATGTCCTAGAAGAGGAAGGGAGAAATAGAGAAGTTAGATGCCTGTTCATCAATTCCAGAATTTTCTTTGGTGATACTGGCCACCACCAGAATTAGATCGTCAATACTGGGATCCTGTGCAGATGGTCCCTATCCCATTGCCACCAGCTCCTCTCATCCTCCATGCACCTTTTCTGATCTGCATCCTTCGTCTAACCCAGAATAAACTGGCCCTAAGTTGCTCTGATTTTCTAGAGCTCTTTCTTACATGGAACAAGAGAGAAATTAAGGTTAAGCTATTTTTACCTATACTGACACGTAGTCTCAGGAGAAAAACACAGTACATAGTCCAGCCCCAAGGCCGCTTTTCCTTACTCTGGCTAATTAAGCTTCTGAGTGCCAAGGTGGTAACCAATGTCACTTTAGAGGTGAAGCTTCAGGTAGCAAAGATTGGCAAACAGCTTTTCAAACAGGTCAAATTATGATTGCCAAGAGCCAGTCAACAATAGAACTTAGGTTGCAACATAATTATTTTTGAGAAATAAAGCTTCAAAGTTCTTTATGGAGAAATATTAAAATATTAATACATATTGTAATTAATGGCATTTTCTTATCTTCTTTTCTAGGAGAATGGAAGTAAGGCTTTCTATTAAGTGTAAAGCAAAAATAGCCTCCTCTTTTTCTCCCAGAGAATCTTGACAGCACTACAGCAGATTTTTTTTCTCCCTCCTTGTGGGGAAAAGCTGCTTCTACCTCCTTTCCAACCCTCTTCCCCCATCTAGTGTCCTCATAGTCATGTTGAAATGGAGTCTCACTTGGAGGAAGTCGAAGGAGTTCTGCTTTTCCATCCGTGCCTGGATGCTCACCAACATCTCCTTGGCTAGGAGACACTGTTCCTGAAGCTGGTTCAGATTCATCTCCATCTCCTCATTCAAGGCTTTTCCCTCTTCTCGGAGCTCATTTAAAATGTCCTTTTCTTTGCTGTGCAGGAACTGATGCAGCTTTAGAAACTCCAAGGAGACGTGTTGCTGCAGGTGTAGCTTGTTTTCCTGGAAACCTCCATGATCATCACCATGGTAATTACTGAGACCAGCACTTGGGGATGGGGGCCCACACCACCAATATTCACACAACTTGGGAAATAACCATAATAGGAAAATGCATGAAAATGGTTGCTGAGTGTCAACATTCAACTATACAAAAAAGAGCCCTTTGGGAGACTTACTCCGTCTTTCTGAGCTAGTTTAATAGTTCAGAATGAAATAGTCAAAAGTGGTCTCTAGGTTCCTATTGCAGTACTGAGGTGATAACCAATGCCATATTAAATAAGACTGTGGGGTTAATCAAACATTCTAAAATGAATGATAATACCCTCCTACCCAGAAGTACAAACCAATATCTACCAAGTGATGCTGTTAGACTGGGGCCATAAGGAGGCTAAAAGAACTGTCCTTATCTAGAAATGAGAACTGGGGGAATGCCACTCCTGCTGCCAAGACAACACAGAAGAAACAGGAGATGGGCAATGTCTGAAGCACCGAAGTTGATAACTGCTACACTTGCAGCTCTTTTCTTAGATGACCTCAACATCCTCATGGGTGAGCCATCTGACATCCCAGTTTCTCAGTTGCTTGTCCTATTCACTTCTAGTGATTTCCACCTTTCTCTACTCATGCTCTTAGTCCCACTGAGGATTTTATCATCCCCAGCAATTGCACCATCTCCAAAATTAACTTTTTATGCTCACTTACTCAGGTACCCCTATTGCAACAATTACGGGGTCTCATTGAAACCTCCTATTCATTGACCCTTCCATTTCTATTCATCAACTTCTTCTGTCTTCATGTCCCCTCTTATCCAGCTTGGATTTTATGGTCCATCATTATAATTGCACTCTTAAAATAGTCTTAACTCTCTCTCTCCTCTACCTCACACTTTTCCAGTTTTCCTTTTACCTAGTTCACCACTATTTCTCAGTCTTATTTGTTGGTTCTGTCTCCTCTAACCAAGCTCTAAGTATTAGAGTTACTTGATATTCTGTCCCAGTCTCTTTCCCCTTCTCATTCTACACTCTCTTTCTAGGTAACATCCTCTCCTTTCACAGCTTTAAGTACGGTCTATATGCTGACTTATTTCCAGCCTAGATCAAATTCTGAGCTTCAGATTCCTATATCCAACTGTCTATTTCACACCTTCACTCATCCCTCACCTCTAATTATTCACCACATCCGGGTTATTTTTATCTCCAAAGCATATGCTGCAGCTGTTTATTTCTCTCCATCTTCACTGCCTGTCTAGTCCACGCCACCATCATCATTCTCTGGGATCATTGCAGCAGCCTTCTAACCATTATCCTGTCATTGTCCCTCTCCAATCCATTCTCCACACAGCCACCAGACTGATATTTTCAAAATGAGATGAAACCATGTCCTGTTTAAACCCTTTAATTGCTTCTCATTATTCAAAGCATGAAGTTCAAGATTCCTAACATTATCTACAAGGGCCTGCATGATTGGGCCCATATCTGCCTCTTCAATTCCATCTTGCCTACCATGATCCAGTTTTATTGGCCTTCTCTCTGTTTAACATAGCAACTAACTTCCTGTCTCAGGACTTTTCCATATAATCTTTCCTCTTTATAGAATATTCTTCTCCAGCCCACTTCCTTCATATTCCCCTCACCCACTTCACTTGGCTAAGTCACTCATCCTTCAATTCTCAATTTTTAATACGCGACTTCTTCAGAGAACACACCTTCCGCAGTCTAGATTAGATTCTACATTTATATGCTCTCATAGCACCCTATATTTTCATTTATAGTAATTATCACAGTTGTTATTTTATTGTTATTAGTGGGACTATTTAATTAACATCTGTCTTCCACACTAATGGAATATACTGTCAGGTATAATGCCTGACCCACTCAAATATTTTTTGAATGAATGAATGTTGACTGTAATAGCTAAACTAGGAACTCTTAGAACAGGAACAAGATTCTCTGGAGATATCATTATTTCCACCTATTCTTCTTCTTTCCCTCACTGTACATATTTCTTTTTCCAGATGCCAAATGCCAGAGAAGACATTCCGCCATAGAATAATTAGTGAAGAAAAAACTCCTAATGTAGCCCCCCAACCTAGGGACTGATTTGCCTAGTCTCTAACTGTTAATGTTGTCCTACCACTCCTGGGAAGTTGAAAGTATAGGCAATAGTTTTATTTAGTTTGGAGGGAGCTAGGAAAGATCAAATCAAATGGGAAAGCCAGCAATTCAAGAGACCTTGGTTCAGAGGTAGCCTGGTTGTAAACCCAAAGAAAGAAAAGTATTTCTTTAGACTTAGCAATCTTTAGTGGATTTTTCTGATAAATTCCTTATCTTGCCATAGATAAAGGGAAAGACCAGACAGATCACAACCCCACAACAATCACCTAATGATTGAACCATTAAAAGGATCAGTATATTAGGGGACAGGTCAGTCTGCTCTCTCTGTTTCTCAGCGATTGGGAATCTACTCCACTGCTATATTCTTTTCTACACGACAATGTCTGTTTTCTAATTCTATAGCCCAGGTGCCACGTAGTGTATTGATAATATATGTATAGGCCCCTTTCCACTCACATAGCTGAAGTTACAAGGAGAGCGTATTCCAGTTCTATCTCATAACCCCTCTACCCTGCTCCTCACCTTGTAAGCAGCAATAGCATCTTTCTGCATGTTCCTCAGGGACTGAAGCTCCTTCAGGGTTGCCTCCAGTTGACCCTGATGGATGGTAAGCTCCTCCTGGGAATACCACATAGAATTAACCCACACTGACTTGGGATATGAAGGGCCATAAAGGACATCTCCCCCAAAGCCCAGCGTGTCAGGAAAAAAAGCGAGCTCTTGCTGCAAAAGTCTTTCCTGTCCCCTGTATCATAGTTCCTGTCTCTTCTAAGAATTGTGAAGACAATTACAAGTAGCAGAAAAACTTAGTTTTACCCTCTTATGGGTGAACTACTGGGGTTTGAAAAAGGTAACAGAACTCTATACATTTTCTATTCTAGTTACACTGTTCTCACTATTTATACTTTTGCTTATATTGTTCTCATTTGGAACACCTGTTTCTTCCTTCTGCCCATCCAAATCCAAATGATTCCCCAGTTCAAGCTTTCTTTTATAATTCATCCCTTGACTGTTTCAGTTTTCTCTAATCTTCTCTGAAATTCTAAACATTTATAAATTACAAACATGACAACATTTGGCTCTTAATAGTAGACTATCTTATATTGCTTCTATTGTTTTATTCATTTTAAACTTGACTAAATTTCAAAAATTTTATAACAAGAGTAATATCTTATATGCCCATATTTTGCACAATGTCTAGTAGAGTGCTGTCATGGTGGGGTTTAGGTAAATATTTGATTGATTGAGGGAATAGGCCGGAGCTCCTCCTCTGCTCCTTTCCTATCATCAGCAACACTTGAGAATGAACTTTGCAAGATATGTTGTATTTTCTGAGCACTCTGAGCTTTCTAATAATCATCTGAATAAAGAAGTGGGATTGGAAGAGAGAAGAAACCCCACAAAAGATTTTTCCCAGCTTTCCTAAGGGATTGCTCAAGGCCCAGGGCTTACCCACCATAAAGAAGTGGACAGCATCAGCAATCTGCATGAACTCTCTAGACTGCCCCACAGACAACCGAGCATCTTTGCATTGGAAGCAGATCAGTTTCCCATCTGGCTTACTGAACAGTTTCAGGTTCTCTCCATGCTCTGGGCACTGTGGATGGCCCTTGAGTAGGGGTAGCTTCTTAATCTTCTCTACTAGCTTCTCTAGTACAAGGTTGAATGTACAGTGGCTATACTGACATAGCATCTTACACTCAGGACAGAATGTTTCCCTTGCTTGCTGCTTCCAAAAGTTTTGGATACAGGCCTGGCAGAAGTTGTGGCCACAGCTTAGCATCAGTGGATCATGGAACCAATCATTACACAGTGGGCAGTGCAGCTCTGTAGTAATATCTTGTATCTGCACTTTAGAAGGTATCTGGGTGATCAAATCATTCACTTCAACGTAGTTGCGTGGGTCGATGTTGGAGGAGGGGTTGGAAGATACCTTTGGAAAAGAACAGCTAAAATGAGTTTCTCTTTCTTGCTCCCCATTTCAGCACTCCAGGATAATGGGCTCCATTTCTAAATGAGCTGAGAATTGGTGCAGCCAGAATAAAAGCACCTCCTTTGAAAGTGACCCAATAGATTCTGCGTTTTCTATTTCTATAATGTGATAGTTTATTACTACTTTCAACATTATTTAAACTTTAATAGAGAACTAAGGCAGAAGAAGAGAGAATACTCAACCAAAGAAAAATATTTTGTTGTACATCCCTCCATCCACCCACTTTCCCCATCTATCAGTTGAAAGTTTTACTTTCAATATCTATTCTACTAGTTATTATCTTTTGGTTTTGTTTTCTAGAAGTCACGTACAAAGAATTGCAATATCAGTTAGATTCCTCAGTCAGTGGCATGATATCACCAACCATAATATCATCTATGCCCTCTTCCCCTCATTCGTTTAAAACACATTACAGAAATAACATACATACAGAGAAACGCAGAATCCTAAGTGTATATCTCGATGACTTCACAAAATGAACATATCTGTGTAATCACCACCCTGATCAAGAAACAAAAGCCTACCAGCTTCCCAGAAGCCCCCCATATGCCTGCTTCAAGTCACTGTGCTTCATCAGGATTCACCCCTATTCCAACTTCCAACACTATACATTAATTGTATCTGTTTTTGAATTTTATATAAATGCAACCATGCAATATATACTCTTGTTGCAGGCTTCTTTTATTCAAAATTACATTTGTGAGATTTATCCATATTGTTCTTTGTAATTGTAGTCCATTCATCTTCATTGATATATAGAATTCCATTGTGAATATGCCATAATTTATTTCTCAATTCTACTATTGATAGACTTTTGGGTAGTTACTGGTTTGGGGCTATTATACATAGTGTTGCTAAGAACATTCCTGCTCATCTTCTTTGGTAAATATACAGTCATGCACCACATAATGATGTTTTGATCAACAATGGACTGCATATACCATGGTGGTCCCACAAGATTAGTACCATATAGCCTCAGTGTGTAGTAGGCTATACCATCCAGGTTTGTGTAAGTATCGTGGGGGAGGAAGAAATTTTCCTCTACTCCTCTAGGTTCTTCTGGCGGGTGTAAGAATAAAATTGACATGACACAGATTAACAGGAGAAAAATAAACAAAAGTTAAATAACATGTATACATGGGAGAAACCCAGGAAAACTGAGTAACTCACCAAAACGGCCAACGCTTTCACCTTAAATACTTTTCTCAGCTGAAGACAAAAGAATATGTTGGGAGTGTGGAGAGTCAGGGACTTCAAAGGGAAGGAAGGCAATTCACAGGCAGGTGAAAAGGAGCAAACTTTTGGAAAACAATTGTTTATTTGGCCACACAGAAACAGAGGAACACGGAGGGGAGCCCAACAAACAGGTTTTCTATGTTCTTCCCTGTCCACCACCTAGTTCATGTTATGCTAAGGTGATCACTCGTTTCCTGAGACAGGTTTTTTAAATCTGAATTCTTTTAGGCAGTTAAGGGGGAGGTAACAAGAAAAACTTTCTGAGTCTTTTGTTTCTTAAAAATAATCAGCCTAAAATAATCTTAATGTTAAAGAGACACATTTTGGGATGGCAAATTTTGTTCCCCTTCAGTATACTCTATGATGTTTGCACAACAACAAAATTGCTTAATGATGCATTTCTCAGAATGCATATGTATGCATTTCTCTTGGGTATATACCTGGGAGTGGATCATAGGATTGGCATATATGCAGCTTAGTAGATATTGCCAAACGATTTTCTAAGTGGTTGTATCAATTTACACTGCCAGCAATGTTGTCCCCTATCCTTGTCAACACTTAATATAGGTATATTCATTTTAGCCATTCTAGTGGATATGAAGTAATATTGCACTGTGGCTTTAGTCTGTATTTACCTGATGACTATGGATATTGGGCCTATTTTCATATGTTAATTGTTCATTTGCATTTCCCCTTTTGTGAAGTGTCCATTAAAGGCAACTATTTTATTGTCAATTTGTCTGTCTTTTCATTTATTCACAAGAGTTCTTCACATATTCTAGATAGGAGTTTTTTTTAATCAGATACACATATTGCAAATATCTATTTCCACTCTGTGGGTTGCCTTTTCATTTTCTTAATGGGACCTTTTAATGAGCAAAAGTTTTTAATTTTTTTAACTTTTTCATTTTTAAGCAGAACACAAATACAGAAAGCAGCATGAAAGAAATGTATAGCTTATTGAATTATTAATAGATGAACAGCAGCCATGAAAGGAGATAGAGCCTTGCCAGCTACCCTAGAAGTCTTCCATATACCCCTCACCACCCTTATGCCCCTTCCCTTATTCCTGAGATGATCACTATCCTGAATTTTGTGTCAATCATTCTCTTTTTTGATTATTTTGATGTTTATATAAACAAAGTCATATTTTATGTATTTGTCTGTGCCTTGCTTTCTTTGCTCAGCATGACTTTTGAGATTCATCTATGTTGGTACACATAGCTGAAGTTTATTCATTTTCACTGCTATCTAATATTCTATTGATGAAAATTTATTTATCCATTTTACTGTTGATAACCAATTGGATTGTTTTGGGGTTTGCCATACAACCAATGCTACTCTGAACATTTTCCACATGTTTCCTTGTACATATGTGCAAGTGTTCTCTAGATTATTTAATGCTAAACCAACCTTTCTTTCCTGGAATTAAACCATCTTGATCATGATGTATTATCTTATTTATGTATTGCTAGATTTGGTTTGGTAATGTTTTATTTAGGAGTCAACCTCTGTGTTCGATTCAACCTCTGTGTTCATGAGTGAGATGGCTTTTAATTTTCTTTTCTTAAACTATCCTTGTCTGGTTTTCTTATTGAAGTTATACCAGCTACATAAAATTAATTGAGGAGTGTGCCTTCTTATTCTCTTCTCTGAGTTTGTGTAGAAAATAGAATTATCTGTTCCTTGAATATTTGGCAGAACTTGCCAGCAAAACTTCTGGGATTGAAGTTTTGTTTTTTGGTTTTGTTTTATTTGGAAGTACTGATTTACTTCTTGACTAATTATAGGATTATTTAGATTTTCTATATTTTCCTGAGATAATTATGGTAATATATATTTTTCTAGTAATTTATTTTGCCTAAATTTATAAATGTATTAGTATAAAGCTATATTCTCTTATATTTTTATTGTGAGATATATTATAGATACATAAGACTGTATAACACATTTGTATACATTTTAAATAATAAGAACAAAGTAACGCTTTGTAATTACCACCCGGGTTAAGAAATAAAACACCAACTACCAATACCTTAGATGCCGCCTGTGTATATTCCTACACTTTTCTTTATTATTCTACTATGAGTGCATCCCCAAACAATATAGTGTTTAGTTTTTTTTCTGTTTTGAACTTTGTATAAATGGAATCATACTGTGTGTATTTTTCTGTGACTCGTTTCTTTCTCTTAAGATTATGTTTATAAGATTAATCCATGGAGAACCTATGTAGCTTTTCCTTTTCAATTATATATTGTATTTCATTGTGTGACTATACCACGATGTATGCATCCAGTCTACTGTTTGTGGACATTTGTTTCAATTTTTCTGACCATTACACACAACACTTTTAATAATATTCTTGTATGTTTCTCTTTGTGAACGTGTATAAGAGTTTCCCTAGGATCTATACCTAGAAATAGAATTGCTAGGTCATGGGATATGCACCTCTTAACCTTTACTAGATAATTACCAAAACCGTTTCCCAAAATGAATGTAGTGATTTATACTCTTACTAGCAGAGGATGAGAGTTTTGGTTGCTCCACATCCTCACCAACATTTGTTACTGTCAAATTTTCTAATTTTTTCCAAACCAGCAGATGTGTAATGGTATATCGATAAAGCTTTAACCTGCATTTCTCTGACTACTAATGCAGTTGAACATTTTTTTCATGTGTTTGTGGATCCTCTTTTGTTAAGAGAAGAAATGTCCAAGACTTTTGTTCATTTTTCTAATGAGTTGTGTATCTTTTTCTTATTGATTCAGAGTAGTTCTCTATATATTCCAGATACTAATCCTATTTTGGTTATTTGTGTTACAAATATCTTCTCCCGTCTCTCAGTATATGGCTTGTCTTTTCACTCCCATCATAATGTCTTCCCATGAACACAAGTTCTTAATTTTAGTGTAATTCAGTTTATAAATCTCTTCTATTTTATATTTTGCCTAGATTAAAGGTGAGTCCCTCCAGGGAATATTTGTGTTTACTTCTTCTTGGACATATAGGTTAGGACCAGCCCTCCATCATTTAATGTTAATTGTATTGGTTTCAAGTTTCTGAATCATAGAGGGATTATAAATTTTAAGCCTAACCCTGAGGGCAAGCTTGTTAAAAATTCTTCAGGGAGACCCTTAAACTTATTTTTCTCTCAGACTCCAGATCAAGATAGTTAAGATTCTTTGTTATTTCTCTTTGCCACTCCTTCACTGAGGCTGTAGCTCTTCAAATGTCCCAGCTTTATTCAAGGGTCTCAGGTCCAATTCCTTAACTCATTGTGGGTCTAAGGATTGTTAAATCTGGGTTTTCCTGAGAGGCACAAAAGCTGTCAGTGCAGCCACAGCCTTAATAACTCCAGACTGCCTCACTGCTTTTCAGTTCTATATTCTTTTTTGTGTGTGTGTGAGGAAGATCAGCCCTGAGCTAACATCCATGCCAATCCTCCTCTTTTTGCTGAGGAAGACTGGCCCTGGGCTAACATCCGTGCCCATCTTCCTCCACTTTATATGGGACGCCGCCACAGCATGGCTTGCCAAGCAGTGCGTCGGTGTGCGCCCGGGATCCGAACCAGCGGAACGGGCCACCAGCAGCGGAGCGCACGCACTTAACCGCTATGCCACGGGGCCAGCCCCTGTATTCTTTTTTTTTTTTTTTTTTTTGCGAGGAGATCAGCCCTGTGCTAACATCCGCCAATCCTCCTCTTT